GTGTGTGTCGGTCTGTGTGTGCGTGTGTGTGTGTGTTTGTGTTTGTGTTTGTGGTTGTGGTTGTGGTTGTGTTTGTGGGTGTGGTTGTGGTTGTGGTTGTGGTTGTGGTCGTGGTTGTGCTTGTATTTGTGTTTGCGTTTGTGTTTGTGGTTGTGGTTGTGGTTGTGGTGGTGGCTGTGGCTGTGGTTGTGTGTGTGGTTGTGGTTGTGGTTGTGGTTGTGGTTGTGTCTGTGTCTGTGTCTGTGTCTGTGCCTGTGTCTGTGTCTGAGTTGTGTGTCTGTGTCTGTGTTTGTGGTTGTGTTGTCTGTGTCTGTGTTTGGTGTCTGTGTCTGTGTCTGTGTCTGTGTCTGTGGTTGCGGTTGTGGTTGTGGTTGTGGTTGTGGTTGTGGTTGTGGTTGTGGTTGTGGTGTGGTTGTGGCTGTGGCTGTGATTGTGGTTGTGGTTGTGGTTGTGTGTTTGTGGTTGTGGTTGTGGTCGCGGTTGTGGTTGTGGTTGTTTTTGTGGTTGTGGTTGTGGTTGTGGTTTGTTTGTGTTTGTGTGTGTGGTTATGTGCTTGTGTGTTTGTGTGTGTGTTTGTGTGTGTTTGTGTGTTTGTGCTTTTGTGTGTTTGTGTCGGTGTGTCTTTGCGTCGTTGTGTCTTTGTGTTTGTGTGTCTGTGTGCCGGTGTGTCTGTGTGTCTTTGTGTCGTTGTGTCTTTGTGGTTTTGTGTCTTTGTGTCGTTGTGTCTGTGTGTCGTTGTGTCTTTGTGTCGTTGTGTCTTTTTGTCTCTGTGTCTCTGTGTTTCTCTGTCTCTGTGTCGCTGTGTCTTTGTGTGTTTGTGCGGTTGTGCGTTTGCGCGTTTGTGCGTTTGCGCGGTTTGTGCGATTGTGCGTGTGTGCGTTTGTGCGTTTGTGCCGTTGTGCGTTTGTGCGTTTGTGCGCGTTTGTATGCGTTTGTATGCGTTTGTGTGCGTTTGTGCGCTTTTGTGCGCGTTTGTATGCGTTTGTGTGTGTGTGTTTGCGTGTGTTTGTGTGTGCGTGTGTGCGTGTGTGTGTGTGCGTGTGTGTGCGTGTGTGTGCGTGTGTGTGCGTGCGTGCGTGCGTGCGTGCCTGCGTGCATGCATGTGTGCGTGTGTGCGTGTGTGCGTGTGTGCGCGTGTGCGTGTATGTGTGCGTGTATGTGTGCGTGTATGTGTGCGTGTATGTGTGCGTATGTGTGTGTGTGCGTGTGTGTGCGTGTGTGTGTGTGTGTGTGTGTGTGTGGGTGTGTGTGTGTGTGTGTGCGGGTGTGTGTGTGCGCGTTTGTGTGTGCGCGTGTGTGTGTGCGTGTGTGTGTGTGCGTGTGTGTGTGCGTGTGTGTGTGCGTGTGTGTGCGTGCGTGTGCGTGTGTGTGTGCGTGTGCGTGTGCGTGTGTGTGTGTGTGTGTGCGTGCGTGCGTGTGTGCGTGTGTGTGTGTGTGTTCCTCCCCCCCAGAGGGTGTTCTTTAGCCCTTCGGAGTATTTGGTTTAGTTCAACCCCCATCGGACGGAGGGTTTGGCTTAGCCCCTCGGAGGGTTTGATGTAGCCCCTTGGAGGGTTTTGCATAGCCTCTCGTAGGGTTTGGTTTAAACCCCTCGAGGGTGTGTTGTAGCCCCGTTGAACGGTTTGGTTTAGCCCTTCGTGGGGTAGTCTTCGCCACGCAGAGGGTTTGTTTCAGCCCCTCGGGCTCTTGTTGTTTAGATTTCCGGATGGCTTGTGTTAGACCCTCGGAAGGTTTTGGTTCGCGCCTTGGAGGGTGTGGTTTAGCCCCTCGGAGACTTTGTTCTAGCCCCTCGGAACGTTTGGTTTCGCTTCTCGCAGGGTTTGATTTAGCTTCTCGGAGCTCTGCTTTAGCCCCCCCGGAGGGTCTGCTGTACCCCCTCTCGGAAGGTTTGATTTAGCTTCTCGGAGGGGTTGGTTTAGCTTCTTGGAGCTTGTTAAAAGGCCCCCCTGAGGTTTTGTTTTAGCCCTTGGCCCCTCTCGGTGGAGGTGAGGGTTTGATTTAGCCACGCAGAGGGTTTGTGTTAGTCTTTCGGAGGGCATGTTCTAGCCCCATGTGGAGGGCGTGTTGTTTGAATTCGTTGGATGGTTTCGGGGCCGCGAGACGGCCTCGTGGAGGCAGAAAGCGCTGCAAAATCCAACGGGTGTAATGAGTCTATGCCACCGAGCTCTGAGGGTGAACATGGTAGAGGGTAGGTTTTCGCATCCCGCGTCGCCTCCTCTCCGCCTCCATCGCGCCCCGCGCGGTGCCTCTGTGATGCTGGATGAGCGCTGAGGAGGAGGGAGGGAGGTCTCGAAGGCGAAGATAAGGGCGAACAGCTCAGGGGATAGCAATACATGTATCCAGGGGCGCCGATGGTTCATGCCTTTGGCGAGGCTCCCGGGCGAATGCGTGCAATGCTCGCCCCGTGGCTATTCGCCCCTATCGTCTCCACCGAGAGGTCCAGCGGGAGGCCGGGGAGGAACAGGAATTGTTTTCCGCATTCTCCCGACCCTGGCCTTGGGACTTCTTTGGTCTGTCTGTGACAATGTTCCGGATGGCTTCTGCACATGTCAACGGCCTGCTTGTGGTCTTGGCTTCGAGATACCAGATTTCTGGCCGCCGGATTTTTTGGGCTCTGGCCGCCAGAATTGTTGGTTTTCGGCGCTGGCCTGTGCACGCTGACAATCGGATGGCCTTCGGCCCATCCCGCCACCGTGCCTGGGTCGTGGCTACACCTGAGGCATTCCGCCTGAATGGTCGAAGTGTTACCAGTCATGTGTCACTTGAGGCATGCCGACTGTATGCCTCAAGTGGTACCAGAGAAGTACCCTTGGAGGCGTGCCGACAATGTACCTGAAGTGATACCAGACAGGCACCTTTTAAAGCATATCGTCTGTACGCCTCACGTAGTACCAACGAAGTAACACTTGAGGCATGTCGTCTGCACGCTGCCAGTGGTGTCAACCAAAGACCTCTTGAGTGATCGTAAGGATCTGGTGATAGGGGTCTCGGTGTATGCCTCTGGGGCCTCTGGGATCTCGTGGTAGGTCCCTCAGGGGCTTCTTGGAAGCCGCCGTTTGGGGGCCTCGTGGAGGCCTCTTGGGGACCTCGTGGGGGCCTCTTGGGGGCCTTTGGGGGGCCTCTTGGAGCCTCTTGGGGGCCTCGTAGGGGCCTCTTGGAGGCCTCTTGGGGCCTCCTGGGGTCGTCTTGAATGCCTCGTGGGCCGTCTTGGAGCGATCTTTGGGGCCTCTAGGGCCGTCTTGGAGCGTAGGGAAGCCGAAAAGACGAGAACCTGAAGAAGTTTTCGAAAGAAACCTATGGAAAATGAATGATGTTGGCCTCTGGGGGGCCTCTCTGGAGGCCTCTTGGAGGCCTCTCGGAGCGTCTTGGCGACCTCCAGGGCCGTCCGGGGGCCATCTGATGCGTTTTGGGGCGATCGTTCGGCGATTCGAGGCCGTCTTCGGCCGCAATGGAGGCCTCTTAGGCGCCGTCTTGGCCCGTCTCGGGACCCTCTTGGGTCCGCAATAGTCACGCGACAAGGCGCGGGGGAACCGCGGGCCGTCCCAGTAGACTTGGCCCGAGAGGCTCCGAACCCCTTTAAGAACGACCGAGGCTCAGAGGGTTAGTGGCAGGACCTGACACCCCACCGCTCCGTGCCCAGCGGCACGGTGGCGGAGATCGAGTTCACCCTGGCCAGCTCGTCTGTAGCGCCCTGTCATTTGTTCTGCCCGCGGATGCCGCAGCACACCCCAACACAGAAGGGAGGAGACTCCAGAGGACCGACGAAGGGCGCGGACTGCGCTGCTGGTTGGCGACGCGAAAAAAACCAGGCGCGAAAGGGGCGGCCCTCTGGGAAGGCACCCTGAAACTCAGAAGCCCCCTTGCCTTCTACAGTAGATTCATGCGGCGATGGCGCGCCGGCCACGCCAGCGAAGGCGCTCCAGCTTGACTTCTGCGGCGCGGACACGCCGCACGGTAACGCCACTGGACCCGACGGAATACATCCTTGAACGATCAGGGCCGTGATCGATTCAAGGATGAACGATCCACGCGGTGTCACAAATGTTGGCGCGCGCCGGCGCCGCACGAACCTACGGTATGCGAACTCGGGCTGCCGAGAAGCCTCTGTGGAGGATCCCGTCTGCGAGGCCCCCCCGCCCCTCCTGGGAGGCCCGCCGCCCTGCCCCCCTCTCTCTCTGCGCGCCACCCAGCCGCCTCGTCGGTCTGCCACTGCAGCGCGTCGTTGGCAGGCGCACCCGCTCGCGTGAAGCCGACGCCATCGCATGCACGCCGGTGCGCGTGCGCGCGCGCGCGCTCGGCGCAGCCCATCGCCGACCCGGTCCCCAACCGGAGGCGACGACAGGGGCGGATCGCCCAGGGGCGGGCATCACATGCAGTCGCCCGGGGAGCCTCGCCGAAGGCATGGACCGTCGGCGCCTCTGGATAGATGAATTGTTCTTCCCTGGGCTACTCACCCCCATCGTCGCCCCCGACCCAGACAGGCAGCTCGGAAGGCTCGCTCGCGAGCGCTCGTCGCGGTCCTCCAGGCCTCCCGTGACCCCTCAGAACCAGGTGTCGAGGAGAAGAACGCCAAGGACGATTTCGCTCCGTTGCGGGCCCCAGGGCCCTCACGGAAGGGATCGAGGCACGCAGCACGCGGCCCTCTTCGTTGCCTCGCCTCCCCGTGATCCTCCTGCTCCGGTTCTTCTGCCTCTCTGCACTGCGGCGTGGCCTGGCAACGCGAAAGTTGCCAGGAACGGCCGGCAGAGGTTCGTGCCCCCTCCGGTCTGGGTCAGGGGCTGCGGCTCGAAGGTCGAGGCCCACAAATGCCGTAGAAAAATTGGGACGAGACTCTTGGTCGTTTTCCACGGTGTTGGGATCCTTCGCCTGATCGCAAGTACGCACAAGCCGGGAGAGAAGGAGCAGCAGGAGGAGGCAGATGAGGAAGCGGGCGACAGAAACATAACCAAAGGGGAAGAGGAGGACATCGTAGAGCGCACTCGCTTGCTCGACGGGGCCAGGAGCTACATCGCGGACGTGATGTTGGCGCAGGAACAGCGCGACGCGGTGGGCCCACGGGGATGTGGTTTTCCCGTTGCGCTTCTAGTCGCGAGCGCATACGTATCATGTAGTATTGTTATTCATCCTTTTCTTCCTCGTATTCATTGTCATTATTCGCTATCCTTTTAGACCTGCTTTGTTTACTCCTGGCCATAGCCATCTGCATCCTGTTCCTTTCTCTCTCTCTCTCTCGCGCTTCCTTCGTACCCCTTCTCTCGTTCCTTCTCCGTTCACCTCGTACCCTACCTCCTTGACTTCCTCCCGGGTCTCTGTTTTCATCCTTCCGACATTTGCCCAAACACACTTAAGAGTAAACCTCATAATAAATAGCAGTAGTAGTAGTAGTAGTAGTAGCAGCAGTAGTAGTAGTAGTAGTAGTAGTCGTAGTAGTCGTAGTAGTCGTAGTAGTCGTAGTAGTCGTAGTAGTCGTAGTAGTAGTAGTAGTAGTAGTAGTAGTAGTAGTAGTAGTAGTAGTAGTAGTAGTAGTAGTAGTAGTAGTAGGAGTAGTAGTAGTTGTTGTTGTTGTAGTTTTAGTTGTAGTTATAGTTGTAGTTGTAGTTGTAGTTGTTGTTGTTGTTGTTGTAAGAATAATAGCAATAATATTACTGATGCGACTACTAATAACAAGAAGAACATATTAGTAGCAATAATAGTTACAGTAATTAATTGTATTCATAGTATTAGTATTATGAAGACTCAGCATCATCATACTATTCCCGAACACTGTTGTAGGTAGGTGGTAGTCTTGACAACTGAACGATGCGCGTCTGCGACAAGCTGGGCGTAGTTGCATCTTGGCCAGAAGCTTCGGGGGCGCGCCCCTCACCACCCCACCCCCGCCCCGCCTCTCGAGTGCTCGCCTCACGATGTCGCAGCAGTGGAGTCCTGCTGGACCCCCAGGGCCAGTTCGAGAATGCTGAGGAGCTCCCGTCAGGTGTCGATGGCCTGTGCCGCAGCCATCGGGCGGCTGGGGCCGCCTCGAGGCTGACGGCCAGGCGCTGCGTCCACGAGGGCCCCCCAGTGAAGGCGGCTCCGCTTCTCGGCAGCGGCGGACTGCCTTTCCGCGGCCCAGCTCGGGCGTCTGAGGAGGGACACGAGGTGCCAGCACCGCCAGAGCAGGAGGTGGCGCTTCGGCCGAAGAGCCCGCCGGACGTGCCGCCGTCGATCCTCTGTGACATGCGCCTGCATGGGGCATTGTGCAACGCTCGGGTCTCGCACGTGCCGATGGGCCCGCCGGCGGTTAAGGCGCCCCCCAGTGTGTCGGCCCGATTCGGCAACGGCGACGAGGAACCTGCGACGGCGAATGAGCTGGCGGCCGCCCATTGTCCTGAGGCCGCGCCTTCGGCCCGGGCCGAGAGCGCGTCGCGGCCGTGGATCCTGGCCTCCACGCCCTGGTTCGTGCGCGACCTCCTGCAGGTCCCTGGCCGCCACCGGGTCGTCGAGCTGGAGCGCGGCGAGGCCGTCGAGCTCGCTCCGCGAGGAGGTCGCGTTCAACACCGGCCTGGAGGCGTCCGAGGTCGTGCTGGGCGGGCCGTCGTCGTTGTTCGTGGACGGCGCGCGTCTCGCGGACTTCCCGATCGGCCCGGAGACATCGATCATGGCCATGCGGCGGTTCCGCGGCGGCGGCGACAAACAGGCCGATGGCGAGAAGTCGCGCGAGAGCGACGCGTGGATCGGCGGCGCGGGCCCTCCGCCGGACAAGGGGGGCCCGGGGGCGACGGGCGTCGCCCCGGAGCCAGCGCTTGCCCCGCGGCATGGACTTCGCGGTGGTGGACCAGTACGGCCGCATTTTTTTCCCCCGAAGGCCAGGGGGGCCGTTCGACACGACTTCGACCACCAGCGACGAAGGCAATGGCATGGACCTGGGCACCTCGGCGGGGCCGCCCACGAACGGGCATCACGGGCGCGTGCGCCATCGCGTGGAGGTCGCGGAGCTCATGGCCATGGTTCGCGAGACGCCGAACGTCGCAGCGCCCAGCCCATCGGACGCAGCGCTTGCTGGGCCGCCCGCCTCGCTGGGGGCCCCGCCAGCCGTCTCAGGCAGCAACTCGCCCGCGCTGTTCGAGGAAATGGCGATCGTGCACGCGTTGAGCCTGGTGGCCCCTGCGCAGCGAGCGGCCTGTATCATGCGTGCGATGCCCGAGGTGTTCACGATGGCGGTGAACTCCCCCCCAGCGCGCCAGGCCGGCGCCCCTGCGGGCCTGCCGGCGGCGGCGGGCAGCGGAGCCCTCCGCGCGCCCGCGGAGGCCGACGGCAACATCCCCGGGGCCGTGGCCGACGCTCTGAGGCCCGAGGAGCCCTTCGAGCGCGAACCCGCCGCCGGGGAGCCACGAGCGAGGCGGAGACGGGCGGTCGGCCAGCCGTGGCCAGCCACCGCCCGCGCCCTCCCTGGCCCGCGCGCCGCCCGCGCCTTCGACGGCGGCCTCCATCTTCCTCAGAGCGACGCACGCCACCGGGACGTCTTCCCGCCACCGTTGTTGGCCCCTGCAGACGCGGCGCCAGTGCCATCATCTACGCGGCGGCGCGCGCGCGACGGCCGCGCCCTCGAGCGCGCGCCGGGCCGCGCCAGCACCGCTGCGCGCGCCCTCTAAGCGATCGGTTCTCGCCCTCGCCATCATCAACGCCGGCAGGGCAGCCCTGCGCCACAGGTCGCACATGGGATACAATCGCCACTCTCGGCCCCGAAGCATTGCGACGACGTCCCAGACCCGAACGGGGCCCTTCGGGAGCCCCCACTGGGTCCACGCTGTATCCTGACGGCGGGGGCGCCCACCGCCCCCCGCGTGCCAGACCGCGTCTCGCGGCCAGATGTCTCGCAGCCGCCGGCGCCGCCCTCTGGGCTGCAGGACCGGCGGGGCGCTGGTGCGCCACGGGAGTGGATGCGCCATGCGTTTCGAGATCCTGAGGAGCACGTCAGCTGCGAGCGGGAGCACGCCCGCACGGCCCGCGCGCGGACCTTGCGCCGCCCCGCTCGCCGACCGACTACGTCGCCCTCCTCGGCGCGATGGTTGGGCGCCGCTCGCACTTGCAGAACATGGCGCGCGCGAGCCGTCTGCGACGCCCGGCTGGCCAGTTGCGCCTCCGCCGACGCTCCGAGGATCCGGCTGCCATCCGCATCGGCCCTGGGGCGTCTCAAGACGGGCGGCCCCCGCGCCCGCGTCGCCTCGGACGGGCTGGGCGCCGGCTTCCACCGCGCGAAGGTTCTCGAGGGGATGGAGGGCCACTCTTCTCGCCCCCATCCGATCGCTGCTAAATTCCAGGCGCCGCCCAGCATCGCTGCCGCGGGGGCTGAGGGCGAGGCGTTGCCGCTGCCCCCAGCGGCGGCGCTTCCGACGGGGCCCAGGGAGGCCCGACACTTATGCCAGACGGTGTTCCAGACGTCTCTGGGCCAGGCAGGCTTCGCGCCAGAAGACCGCGCCCTCGACGGCCACTGCGGCAGCCGTGTGCCCGACGATTCGGATTCGCTCGCGGGGGCATTCGTGGACGGCCACTTCGTTCTCGGCGGCCCCCCGAAGCCGGCGGGCAGACGGCCGCGGAGTCATGTCGCGGCGCTGGCTTCCCGGGGCCGTCGCTGCGCGAAGGGCGCCGGCAAAGCTTGCGCGCGCGTCGCCCGGAGGCCCCGCGCGGCGATCCGCGCGGTCACCCTGACAAGCGCAGGTCATCGAAGGCCCCCAGCTGCGGGCGCCGGCTGGCCACGTCACGCGGGCGCCGCCGCTGCGGCGGGGGCCCCATATGCATTCTGAATTCGCCCTGCGACTGCACCCTGGCCGCGGGGCCCACGGCTATGCCCACGCGGCCGTGAGTGCGTCGCAAACCCCTCGCCCGCCAGGCGCTGCCGCTCTGCGCGGCTGACCTCGCCGCCCCGCGGCGCGGGCGGATTGCGCGCGCGGGCGCCTCGCCATTCGGGCCGGGCGTCGCGGCCCGCCACGCTGCGGGACCTCGCGGGCGCCGCTGGGGGAGATGCTGGGCGCGAGATAAATCGGGGTCGGACGGCCAAGCTGGGGGCCGAGAACGGCGATTCGGCGGGGGAAGGTCTCAAGACAACTAAGAGGGGGGCCCGTTCACGAATCCGTTCGAGTCAAACAAGAATCTCGATGCCGGGGTCGTCGACGGCCCGCGGGAGTCGCTTCTGAAGGCTCGGCCGGCGGACTTGGACGTCGCCCCGGCCCACCTCGCTCGCGAATATTCCCTGGGGTCGGTCGCTGCGGCGCATTTCGACGGGCGGGCCAACATCCAGGCGCTGGAAGGGGGCACCCTCGCTCTGGGGCATCGCCACCTGCCCCGCCCCACCTCGTCCTTTGGATCCACGTTTCTCATCTTCTCGGACAACCCGCTTGCCCCTGGCGGCGGGGAAGGGGGGAGCTCGGAGCAGTCGCCTCGCCGGCGCCCTGCGCAAGATCTGCGCGCCGCTTGTCGCCAGTGGTTCAATTATTGCAGTCTGGTGGGCCCCTTCGGATGCGAACCCCGCAGACGGCCGCGGCCGCGGCACTGCCAGATGGATCTCCGGCAGCCAGGACGCGCCGTTGGCGCCCGGCGGCGGGCCGACGGCTCGCGCGGAGGCGCGCGCCGCCGCCGGGGCCCGCCCACGTGGCGGCCGCGAGCCTGACGCAGGCCAGACCGACGGCGCGCGGGCCAGCGATTCGCTGCCCCCGAGCGCGGCCGCACGCGAGGGCGCCAAGCAGCTGCGTCGAGCACTGCGTCCTCCGCCGCCTGGTTTGGATGGACCACTTGACCCCAGATCGGACGGCGGCGCAGGTCAGGGTCGACGACGTCCTGCGCGGCGGCGGCGGCAGCAGCTGGGGAGCCCGATTCGTTCGTTTCTTCGGCCTGCCCTGCCACCAGGCGCCCCCGCGACGGTAGCGGCGGGGAACGGCCACCAGTGCTTCGGGGCTGCTCCTGCACGCGACGGGCGCCCCCGGCGCGGGCGCCCTCTCGACCTGTTCAGCCGGTGGCAAGCGAGAGCCTTGATCGACGAGCTCTCTCAGCAAAGGCCACCCGGGGTGACGCAGTGGCAAGGACGGCGGAGGACGACGCGACCGCCGCAAAACCTCAACCGCCTCGCCGAGGGTCGATGCTCTCCGACAAGTCCACTCTGACACCGCGCAGAGCCTGCAGCAGCTCATCAGCGGCGCCCCGCCAGGCTTGCAAGCGATTGGCCGCGCCGTTGAGCGCGGCTTGCGCAGTCGCGCGGGCAATCGGCACGTGGTTTTGGAAGGCAGCGATGAGCTGGGGCGAAGACGGCTGTCGCCGCCGAAGGCCCGCACCCGCCCGCTTTGACCGCTGCTCGCTGCGTCGAGGAGGCCCTGCTCATCCAGCCCGCTCGGGCCCTCCACCTGCTTGCAACGCGCCAATGCACTGCGCGTGCTGCGCGTGATACTGTTAATGTTCGGTATTCGGCCAGATGCTCTTTCGGGATCGGGCGCGGGCCGCGCCGCTGCGCTCGCGCGCCAGCCTTTAGAGGCATCATCCGTCAGCCAGCTTTCTGCCCCTGATCTCCACCTGGCCCTACTGCCCCAACAGGTACAACACATTACAACACACGCCTGGCCCCCAGTAGCTGAAGCGAGCTGGTTGCTTATCAACTGAATGCTGAGAGTCTACAAAAGGTTGGACGCATTCGCGCATTGGCTGGAAGCTCTTCCCAATGCACTTTTTTTTTCGCCTCTTCTCACCAACGGTTGCGAGGGTGCGCGGGCCACGCCGTCGCGCTCACGTGCCGGCCGTTGCAGACATCACCCGTCGCCCGGCCCTCTGCTTCTGATCCCCGCCCGGCCTTACTGCGTCCCAAAGGGTGCAAAGGAACCTGGCCCTAAGTGGTTGGAGGAACCGATCTTGTCATTTGTATACAGATGTGTATATATCTATATATATATATATGTACTCAAGACTGCGTTGGCTTTCCGCGCCGCGCACCTTGGTCCTTCAAACTTCGCACAGATTGGCAATTGGCTCTCATCCTCGTTAGCCTTTGAAATTATTGATTTGCATTTCGCGCGTAATGTTTCTTGGGATGCATGTGGACGAATTCCGAGGTGGACCCGATGACGTGGCGACGACGATGCCACTTGGAAGCTCCGAAAAGGCAGGGTTTCGCCACAATCAGAGCAAGCGAATACAAGCATGAAGGTCGCGGCGCATGCGGGAGCTTAAAGCATGTATAAGCCAACGGCTACGGATGCATGGATACGTACACCATGTAAGGACATGTCCCGATGAATGACGAGGAGAGTCCTCGTATGGCCCACACTGGCCCGCCCGTGTCCCAGATTTGAAGCAATGGCAAGCCAAGCGAATGAACGTCAAACACAGGCTCGCACTGCCAAGCAATGCCGCAGAAGTCAAAGCAATGCAATGTCAAGCATTGCCGCCTTGGCTTTGGAATTACACCGAGAGCCTGGCTCGCCACGGACCTTTGAAGAATTATGATGCAAACCTGGCATTTGGGTCAGTTTGGTGTATTTCGTAGGAAGACGCCTTCTGGAAGACGCACGCCCATGCAAAAGAGTGACGTTCGGGTTTTTTCACGTGGCCAGCACATGGGTTCATGGGTGGCCCAAGTTGTCCGGTTACACATTGCACGGCAACGGAAAGCGTCGCCTTATCTTTCCACATCGTTCCTCTCATTTATCTTCGCTCTCGCCTGGCGTTGCGAATCATTCCCCGTCTGCCGCAGGTCGTTTTGCGGAGGTTCACCGTTGGAATTGCATTGGGAGGCTCACGAATGCCTCTCAATGGCTTTGGGGGCCCCTGGAGGCTTCCTGGGCGCATTTCTGCACTTTTTGGGGGTGGGGGGTCCGTTAGAGACCCGTTTGGGCCGTCTTGGCTCCCTCTTGGGCCGTGCTGGGCCCTTCTTGAAGAATTTGGGCCCTCTACGGGCCTTCTTTGAGCCATTTTGGGCCCTCCTGGAGACCTCCCATGGCCCTCGTGGGTATCGTGAGCTTCTTTGGGGTTTTCACGGGGTAGTCTTGGGGCCCTCTTGGGCTGTCTTGAAGCCCTTTTGGAGGCCGTTTGGGCCGTCTTGGGGCGATCTCGGAGGCTTCTTGGGCCGTCGTGAATGTTGTTGAGACAAACAGCGAACATGCTGAAAACGCACGTCTTCGCAAAGGGAGTGGGAAGATGTTTGCTTTTGATGGGGCCCTGCTGAAAAGGGCTGTCTTGGGGGCCTTTTGGGCCGTCTTGAGACCGTCTTGCGCTGTCTTGGGGCTGTCATGCGCCTTTCCGACCTCTTCTCTGATCGCTTGTGGTTTGCTGGGCAAGGCCAGGCAAAGCGCCCTGCAAGGCGCGGCAGGGCCGGAGGACCTCTTCCAAGGGCGTCCAAGGGGGGCCCAAACCCCGGATCCCAGGAGTCTGTTTTTTTTGGGGGGGGATGGTTTTTTCCCGCCCCCCAGATTTGCAAAAAATATAGAAAGGTGAATGTGTGTGGACGTTCAGTTACCGCGCCTTGAACTGAGTGATAACCCCATTGTCCGACGATCCAGCTGCCTGCGGCAAGCACCGCCACCAGCCCATCGTTGCATTAAATGATTCGAAGGATTGATATATCGATTTCTCCCGACGGGTTGGGGAGAGTCATCATGAGCCAGTTGGGAAATATCGCATGGCGCCGTCGTAACGTTGCATGGCTGTTGCTTGTTTCTTGGGGGTATCGGAGGCTCCTGCGGGGCCTCTTGGATCTTCCCGGGGGCCTCTTGGGATGTTCTGGATGGCCTCTTGACGGCCTCTGGGGCGTGATGGTTCTGCCGAGCTCCCACGAAGGGGCAAGGGGCAAGGCTGGACCGTCTTGCGCCGTCTGGACGGGTCCTGAGGCCATATTGGAAACTTATGCGGGCGGTCTTGGGCTGCCGTGCAGGGTTCTCGGGCCGTCTTTGGGCCTCTCTTGGGCCGTTTTTGCGCCCTCTTGGGTCGTCTGGGGTTCCTCGGGTCGTCTTGGGTACCTGGAGGAGGAAGGGGAGGATGAGGAGGATGACGAGTAGTAAGTAAGGAGAGGGGGGAGAAGATGGGGAAGTAAAAGGGGAACGGGAGCCTGAAGGGGAAGAGGTTCGTTTGGGGGTGGTTGGGGTTGGGCGAGGTTGCGGGCGAGTGCGAGGCAGAGTGCAAGGGAGAGAGGTGGGGCGAGTAGCTAGGGGAGGGACAGGCAAGAAGAGAAGGAGGGAGTTCAGGTTCAGGTTGAACAAGGCGCTGCTATCCGTGTCCTAGGGCTGGACCGACAGGGTTTAAGGCACGGTGCGACGGGTAAGTGGAATCTGTGTTGGCTAGAATGGGTTCGCCGTTTCAAAATAGATGTGGCAGATTATCTTCGTTCGTTCATTGTGCCTAGTCATGGATTTCGCTGTGCTTTCCCGAGGAGGATGAAGAGGAGGAGGGTGACGGGGTGGAGGAGGAGGAGGAGGAGGAGGAGGAGGAGGAGGAGGAGGAGGAGGAGGAGGAGAGGGGGAGAAGGAGGAGGAGGAGAGGAGGAGGAGAAGGAGGAGAGAGGAAATCGGAGTAGGAGGAGAAGGAGGAGGAGGAAATCGGAGGAGGGAGAGGGAGAAGTCGTCGTCGTCGTCGTCGTCGGCCCCTGAAGGACCCATGAGGCTCTCGGACGCCTGCATGGGGCCACAAGCGTCCAACCGTCTCGATCCTCGTCGAGGATCGATGCGTGTGGGCGTTAACGTCGTCGTCGACGCAGGATCGAGGACCCCTCGTCGATCCTGGATCGACGGCGTCGTCGCCGTCGCCGCCGCCTGGGTGGGCCGCAGGCCGCAGCCGCTGGCGGGGCGCGAGGCTCGCTGGCTCACGGCCCGGCTGGCGCGGCGGTAGTTCGCGTGGATACCCCGCCCGCCCTCTTCCCCTGGGAGGAGGGGGAGAGGAGGAGGAGGAGGAGGAGGAGGAGGAGGAGGAGAAGGAGAAGAAGGAGGAGGAAGAGGAGGACGAGGAGAAGGAAGGAAGAGGAGGAGGAGGAGGAGGAGGAGGAGGAGGAGGAGGGAGGAGAGAGGAGGGAGGAGGAGGAGGAGGAGAGAGGAGGAGGAGGAGGAGGAGGAGGAGAGAGGAGGGAGGAGGAGGAGAGGAGGAGGAGGAGGGGGGGAGGGGGGGAGGAGGAGGGGGATCGAGGGCTGAGGCTCTCGCACGCTCTTGGCCAATATTTGGCCTCGGGAGACCTCCGAAAGCACCTGGGCGCTTCCTGGGACCTCCCTGTGGGACCCCCCTGGAGACCTCCGGGGCCTCCTGCGAAACACCCTCCCCGCGCCAGCCTCCTAGGTTTTCATTGTGCCACCCTTGTTGAACATACTCTGTGTTCTGTTTATTGTCTTTCTTTCTGTGTTTCTCTCTCCCTCTCGTCATCTCCTTCTCGCCTCCTCTCGCCGCGTTGTGGGCATGTAGTATCGTTGGCAGGTTGGGCCCCAGAGGATATTCGCATGCGGCACGCTCATTTCTTCGTTCACGCCATGGTTATGCGCATGTGTTTGTTTATCACAGGTCGGCCCATGGGGATTACCAGGTTTGCTTGGCGATATTTTGGTTCGCACCGCGGCAGAGGCTGAGTCATGTGAAGGTCTGTGGTCTCGTTCTCTCCTCCTCCCCCTCCTCGCCCTCCTCCCTCCTCCTCCTCCTCCCCCTCCCCCTCCTCCTCCTCCTCCTCCTCCTCCTCCTCCTCCTGCTCCTCCTCCTCCTCCTCCTCCTCAAAAGAAAAGAAGTCCTATTCTTCCTCCGCCTCCTCCTCCCCTTGAGGCGGCCACCATGAGGAACGAGGAGGAGGAGGCGGAAAAAGAAGAAGAGGGAAATGGGCCGACGCGGGGTGGAAAGTAACGGCCTCTGTACGGGCCGCTCTTTTACCCCCATCTGTGCCCCAACCTGTTTCATCACGCTCGTCGCTATCATCTATGATAATTTCATGTGCCGATTGCCTTCCACATTTGTTCTCCATTGTTGCGCCACTCTACTTAGAATTCCTTACTGCTTCGAATTTCTTGCTCGGTTGGCTCTTGGACTTGGCCACAACACGCGCAATGCAGAGGCGTTGGTGGCACATGTTGCCCCGTCCAACGGCAGGAGACGGATTCAAGACATCGATATTTGCGTGGACGCGTCCGCTCACAACTGGTGTGGCCTTCAGGCACACTGTGCGCGCTCGTCGTGTCTACAATTTGTTCAGTGACACAGAAGTAACCCTATGACAGAGTTTGACGGTAATCTTGAGAATAATGTCCCGGAATTGGTGCACGGCTGCGAACCGTTGTGCGACATTTGTTTTAAAGACCACTAGCCTTTGTGGACCGCTTGAGCGCAGGAACATTTGTGTTTTTCGATGAATAAATTGAGCCCTCCAGAAGAACCGAGATAGAACAACCTCCACAGCGTCCTCCCGCCTGGAAACCACATACACACAGCATCGAGTAGCAGAGAGCGTGCATTCTGGCCAGGCGCGGGGCTCGGCAAGCAGCCGGGTGTGCAGCCCAGCGTGCAGCCTGGCATGCAGCCGGGAATGCCTCCTGGCGCGCAGCCTGGCATGCAGCCCAGCATGCCCCCTGGCATGCAGCCTGGCATGGGCGTGAACGCGGCGTTCTCTGGCATGCAGCCCGGCATGCAGCCCGGCATGCAGCCCGGCATGCAGCCTGGCATGCAGCCCGGCATGCAGCCCGGCATGCAGCCTGGCATGCAGCCCGGCATGCAGCCTGGCATGCAGCCCAGCATGCAACAAGGATGGCATAGGGTTCCGTGGGATGTTTGTCTCTTTCATGCGTTTGGTGCAGATTATAGCGCAAGAGCAGATGGAGGATGCGTAGGGTGACCAAGGTGATCGAAGGATGCAAAGATGATGGATGGAGGATTCGAAAATGGAGGATACGTACGAAAAGAGCAGATTATAGCGCAGTGTGATCAAACGAGTTTGAGTTGAGCCATCCAGATGTCCAGGAGTGTCTGATTTTCCAGGGGCATGCGCAGATGTATCTGGCCCTCTTCTTGCCAGAAATGTTTCAGTGAAGCTTACACCGCACGGAGAGTCATGTACTTTGTTCTGCGCACTAGACGAAATTAATTGCACGGCGCACAAAGGAATTTCAACAGTACACCAGATGTTGTGGTACCACACGTGGCACCACGCAACATCATTGCACGGCACCATCTTACGGCACGGCACCGTTTTGACATATTTTCAAAGTTCATGGTGTCGCACGTGGCGCAACGCCCCATCAGGCCTCAACATCGGACTTCGAGGCATCAGCTTGCCGCAGCACAGCACGAGCCACCAGATTTTTCTTTTTGGCACGCTGTCAGGTCTGACGCTTTGGAAAGGAGCCGTCTGGTGCCATGGAGTGTTGCCGCATGCTCTCGTGCGTTGTGTCCGATTGCCGAGTCCCCAAACGACAAGAGTTGGCGAACAGACTCCCTGCTTGAAAGAGCTCCAAAATCATAACAGACGCTCCGCTGTGTGGTGACTTCCGTGCGCCTCGCTTATCGCGACGCCCCGTGGTGATGTCTGAGGATCCGCCACGGTGCCCTTTTGGAGCATTCGGGCGCTTGCAGGGGCCTTGGTGATGGGGGGTCCGAGGGTCGTAGTGGAAGTGTGGGGGGCAGTCTTGGGTGGTCTTAGCATGGGAGCATGGATCTTGACTCACGACACCCTCCTTCTACTTCCTACTTCAGTTATCATCCTCATTTCTTCTCTCTTCCTGGTCCTCTTCCCTACGGTCACGGGAGGCGTTTGGGCGTCTTTGCTTGCAAGGTGAGATATATATAAGACCAGGCAGTGAGAAATGGTTATTTCCCCTCGCACGGCGCTAGTACTGCTGTTGTTGGGAACCTCCTCTGCTGGATGGGTTCCAGTTGCTGCCGTGGGGGCGGGCTGCCAGGTCCCAGGCGTCACCATTGTGAGTTCCGGGTCGTTGCCGCCCCGGGGCTCCACACCCATCGAGAACCACACGCATTGCGCTCCACACATTGGGTCACACACACACATGTGGTTCTGCACAGTTGGTTACACATGGAGTCCCTAACACTGAGTTCCTCACATAGGGTTCCACACATTGGGTTCCACGCATATGATTCCCCACACGCGCAGGTTTTCTCGTGCATGGGATTCCACACAGAAGGTACCACACCATCAGGGTTTCTCACAAGGTTCCGCACTGGGCTCCGCTCTTATAGTTACACACGCAGGGTACCACTGCAGATGGGGGACCCAGGAGACGGGCTAAGATGTGATGGTGCTGACCGTGCGGAGTAACAACGTCCGACGCTCCTGGTGGAGCTGAAGACGCGGTTTCTCGGGAGATTCCAGCCTGCGCTTGGAGGCAATGTTTCAGGGTGTGATTTTGTTAGCAGATATCGTCTTGTGCGGGAGACCAGTGTTGCGCGACACCCGGTTCTATCATGTTGAATGTTTTCAGCACCCCACAGTTGAAATAGGACGTGGGAAATGAAACCAGCGGAATTTCGAATTTACGAACGTCGGGAAGTGCTACACCATATTCTCGATGCCCAATGATTAGAGTCAGCTACACAAGTTCAGCACCCAGTGAAAGTCAGTTATACTAGTTTCATGAACCACCCCTTCCAGAGCCTTCCATCGCGTTGGAGTTATCCAGGAATCTTGTTGGCATGCCTGAAGGCGGATGGCGAGCCTGGGTTCGCCAGTACGATGAGCCAAGAAAGTTGAGCTAAACGTCTTGCTCTGTAGAAGCCCACGCCAATTTGTTTCTGATTCTCCTCTCTGCCGTCCATGTGTTCGCCTTGCTGATGCCGTTCACACCATGGTTGCTTAGTTCTCCAGGGCACCATGTTGGCTATCAAGAGTCGAGCTTGTTTTTTATTGCTCGGACCCGTAACGCCCGTTACGGGGGGGGGTCCCCCCCCCCCCGTAACGGTAACGAGCGTACGGGAACGGGGGTGCGGACCCCCCCTCCGTCCAGGCAGGCATGCTGTGACGCTCACATGTGTGCTCAGGTTCGAGGTTCGAGGTTCGAGGTTCGAACCTCGGCGCAAACTCAAAATGGGTCCACGGGGCCCGACTGGGGCTCAGGCGCACCAGTTTCCCAGCTTTGTGGTGCACACATGCCATGTGGTATACACAGGCGCCACGGTTCACACTCCCATGATGTACACAGTCGCAATGGAGTACACAGGCGCTGTGGGCTCAACAGGTCCGAGCGCTTTTTGAACCAGAAAAACTAAGATCCACAAGCAGCTCACATAATGAAAGGGCCACGGTTGGGCCCCGAGCGATCTTCTGGACTTTCGCTCCGCCGGTACCTTACAGGTGTACACAAGCTTTGTGGTGTACGCTGGCATTCTGGTGCAAACACGGGGCGTTGAAACAGCACCTGTGGTGCACGCGGGCGCCGTGGTGTGCACCAACAGTGAGATGTACAAGGGCGCTGTGGTGCACCCGCCTGTCATGATGTGCTCAGTCGCCGTGGTGCACACACATACCATTTCTGCCGCAGTTGTGGTGTACAAAGGCATCGCGGTGTACAGAGCCTGTGTAGTGTGCACAGGCACGGTCGGCTTCGACGACGACGACAGCGGCGACGACGACGACGACGAAGCCTACCGTGCCGACAGCTGTGCTGGTAATAAGTACCAGGGCCCGTGCGAGGGCCCCGCCGCGCGTTACAGTTACCCCCAACTTGGGGCCGGACCCCACCCCCCCCCGTAACGGGCGCTACCCCCCCCCCCAATAAAAAAACAAGCTCTGCGCGTATTCACCCCCCCCCTGACATGAACACTCGACCATATTCAGAGTAGACACAGACCAATGCACAACACACACACACACACACACAACGACAGTTTCACCACGCTGGTCGCCATAACCGCTTGTTATGTTGTAACTGTCCGCAAAGAGAGCACGCAGGAGAACAGAAGTTCCGACGTTGGCCGACGTAGCGAAGAAGTCAAGACGAGCATTATCAGCGACATACTTGTCGACATATTCAGCCAGAGAGATTCAAGAGTCCATTCCCAGAGCTGGCTGATTTTCTTTGACTTCTCACCCTGGTTACCCGAATTCGTCGTCCCTCCCCCCCCCCCGATCCATCCACCGCAATCATTATCTCCCTCCCCCTCCCCTGCTGCAATTACCCCCCCTCTCTCCCTGTCCACCTCATCCCTTCCTTTCTCCAGCCTCCTCTATCCTGCCTCCATCCACCCTCTCCCCTCCACCCATCCTTCCCCTGTCTGCCACGGCCACAGAGGCTCCCCGTGGTGGACTGGCCCCCCTTGAGAGAGGTGGCCAGGCCATCTTCCAGTGTGCCTTCGCTCCTTTCCCGTTTTCCTCCTTGCTTGCCGGCCTGCTCGCGTGCTACGCGGAGGATTCGGTGGCGGCTTTGGCGCACCGCAGCAGTACCAGCCACAGGGGGGCAGCCCGGGGAGCCCCGCATTCTGACCGTCGCCCGTGAGTGGCGCCGCAGGAGCAGCGAAGTGTGGGTGACTGCGTTGTGAGGCCGTTTGCGTGCGCACTCCAATTGTCTGGTCGCGTTTATCACAACAGTTCTCCCCCCTCCTCCCATTCATCCGTGAAGGAAGAATGTTTGGGAGCGGGGGACCCCAAACAGTAAGTTGTAGCACTGTGGATGCAAGGTACGTGGCGTAAGCTCAGTGGTGCATTAGATGATGTTGTGCTAGTTATGTGGTGCAAGCCGTGTGGTGCAAGTTATGTAGTGCGAGCTAGATGCCAGCTGAGGGGTGTGAGCTATGTGGTCTAGGCTGTGTGTTGTACGTTATGCGGTGTAAGCTATTTGGTGCAAGCTATGTGGTAAAAGCTACGCAATGGAATTAGTATTTACCAGCTCATGAGTTGTCAACTCCACTGCTCTCGCAATCATCCTACCCTCCCACCCGCAACTTGTTTTGCAAAAACCACGCGGCCTCGGTTTCGGTGACTGCTTGACCCTGGTCGGCGCATCTTTGGGGCCGCGCTGGCGCACGCAAGCTCGCGCACAGAGCGGCAAGTTGGTTTGGCACAGCTGATGCGGCCGCGATGGCGCTTGCCGATGGCAACTCCCAGCGCGTCTCGGCGGCCTCTCTGGCGCGCGGGCACTTCGGTGCGGGGCGGGCGCGATATCATGATGACGCCGACAACGGCGACAAAGATGGTGATAGTAACGATGGTGGTGGTGATGGTGACGATGACGGCGGCAAGGCCAAACACGGCGCCGATGCGGGTGACGACGATGACGATGATGATGTTCACGTCTCGATGAGGAAGGCGATCGACTGATGATGGCGGCAAAGCCGGCGATTGGCGATGACGACGAAGGTGGTGATGCGATCGCGTTGATGCGGGCGATGGTGAGGAACTGCGCGCGCGTAGACATTCAAGAAACCAAGCAAAACGTGCGTTGGAAAAGCAAATGTGTTCACATATGCTGAGGAGACTTATGTTGAAACGTTCTGAAGACCATTGGTTTTGGAAGGATCTCGACACGCGCGCGCGGCAGCTCGCGCATGTGACCCGCATCGTGGCATCCGACACGGAGCCGTGCACTGGGCGCATGCTAGATCAACGCAGGTGCAACGCGTGGTGGGATGAGGGTGCGAGTTTTGGATTAGATTGTTGACATCATATGGTTTTTATTGTTTCGATGTCAGAAACATGTACGCGGACATACAATCTGAAAGTTTTGTGATGATACGGCTTCAAAACTGATGTGATGGCTTGAGTTTGACATCTGCGCGCGCGCGTGCTGAATGTGCGCCAGTTCATTACAGGGATAATTGGACAACGATTTGGCGAAACGAAATGGTGCGCGCAGGGTGTTATTCGACAGGGAAGAAGGGAGTGTCGATACCAATCGGTCTGAGGGTGTCGATACCAGTCGGTATGGGATGATATAAATTCGTATGGAACATGAACGGTGAGGCAGAACCACACGTAATTTGCAGTGTCCCAGGGCGACCGTCTGAGCTCCGGCTCGGGAGGGGTGATCTGCTTCTTGTTTTGAAAAGGAAAGCCAGGAGGAAGAGGAGGAGGAGGAGGAGGAGGAGGAGAAGGAGGAGGAGGAGGGGGAGGGGGAGGAGGGGGAAGAGGAGGAGGAGGAGGAGGAGGAGAGAGGGGGAGTTGGCGGAGGAGGGGAGGAGGAGGAGAAGAGGAGGAGAGGAGGGGGGGAGGGGGGGGGGAGGAGGAGGAGAAGGAGGGGAGGAGGAGGAGGCGGTGCGCGGCCGCTCGGCACACTAAACGCCTGCGGGCGGCCACGGGGGGGCACCGTGCGCAACTTCGGCAAGCCCAGCCAGCGCACGAGACGCCCGCGGGGCGCCCAGAGGAGGAGGAGGAGGAGGAGGAGGAGGAGGAGGGAGGAGGAGGAGGAGGAGGGAGGAGGAGAGCTGGAGGAGGAGGAGGAGAAGAGGAGGAGGAGGAGGAGGAGGAGGAAGAAGAGGAGGACGAGGAGGAGGAGGAGGAGGATAAGGAGGAGGAGGAGGAGGAGGAGGAGGAGGAGGAGGATGCGGGCACCAGGCGAAGCCTCGGCACGCCCGCCCAGCGCACGAGGCACCCGCAGGCGCCGGCGGGCGGGCACCAGGCGAAGCGTTGGCACGTGCGGCACACCCACCCAGCGCACGAGGCGCCCACGAGGCAAAATGACAGGCGGGCACCGCGCGAAGCCTCGGCACGGGTTTCCAAAACACGAGGCGCACACGGGCACCCACCAGCCAGTCGCCAGCCGCAAGCTGACCACACCCGTCCAATTATTGTGAGGAGCTTGTTGCGGAAGTTCCTGAGTGCAAGCACTGTGTGAGGAATCATCTCTGCTTTCGCCATCCTCCTCCCGTCCCCTTTAACCCTCTTCTCATTCCTTCTGCCTCCTTCTTCCCTTGCTTCTCCTCCTCCTCTCCCCATCCTCCCCCCTCATTCCCATTTCCCGCTCTCCTCTCTCATTCCTCTTCCCCTCTCCTCGAAGTGCGTGCGCGAGGAGGAGGACGATCAGGAAACGGGAAGAATGGCATGAACATGTATGAGTATGACCACGTGGCAAAGCCAATCAGAACAATTCGGAGCCGAGCACACCTCACGATAGTACGCGTTGTTGCGCCGAGAGGTTGTCTGCCTTGCTGATGAAATCTGGCCAGATCCTTCGAGAAATATGGTGAACAGTTTCAGCCACATTCGGGGTCAGTCGACACTGGCAGACTTGACCGCGCATGAAGGGCCGATTATGACCATAGCTGCCACGATCTCTGCCGTATGAAAGCTTCAGAAACCTACGAAATTGCATCTTATGGTTGGAATTGGAAAGGCGCGGAAGAGGAGAAGAAACATAAGGAGGATGAGAAAGAGGAGCAGGAGGAGGAGGAGGAGAAAGATGACAAGAAGAAGGAGGAGGAGAAACAAAAGGAGGAGGAGGAGGAGGAGGAGGAGAAGGAGGAGAGAGGAGGGGGGGAGGAGGAGGAGGAGGAGGAGGAGGAGGAGGAGGAGGAGGAGGAGGAGGAGGCGGAAGAAGAGGACGAGGAAGAGGAGGAGGAAGAGGAGGAGGAGGAGGTGGTGGGAAGGGAGCAGGATCAGGAAGAGAGCGTTGCTCCCCACACCTTGCGCAGCCTTGGCCAACGTGCAAAGAAGGCGTTCGTCTCCTTTCGTTTCCCGCAAGGGTTGTCCCTTTCCCCACTCGGGCCTTGCCCCACGCGTCGCGGTCCGATGCGTCCTCCCTCCATCGTAGACTCACCCTACGCCGTCACTCACATCAACAAGTGCAACATCGTGCACGAGTGTATCTCACCCTCTCGCCCTCCATCGATCCCTCGCCACCGTCCTTCCTTGGTTCTCTTGCCCATTGCCACCACGGCAATATACAAGCCGACCAACCATACTCGTCTCCGGAATTGCGGTTCTGTTTGCAAGAAAATATCTTGCTGACTGCCCTCGCAGGAGCGTTGGGCAGCGACTGAAGACCTGCTGCTGGGTTGGGTTCCTGGGCACGCGCACCAGACCCATCGCCCAGCAGGGCAGTCTGCAGAAACAACGAGCCACGAACCAAGCCGCACTTGCGGCACACAGGGTGGCAGAGGGTAGGTTATAGCGCCGCCCGCTTCCCGCCCCACGCGAAGCCTCTCCTCTGTGAGAGAAGCGGCACCGCCAGTCCGCTGCGGAGATCTTCTCCCGTCCTGCGGGGGCCTAGTCCCTTCCAGGAATGTTTCTACAGATTGCCGAGTCACTTGCCCCACCGCGGCGGCCTCCTGAAAAGCGCTCCGCCGACCATCCAGCCGCCAATCAAGAAGGCGCTCCCCGCCTTCTTTTTTTTTTATTAAAGAAAGATATATATATATATATATAAAAAAACAAAAAAAAAAAAAAAAAAAAAAAAAAAAAAAAAAAAAAAAAAAAAAAAAAAAAAAAAAAAAAAAAAAAAAAAAAAAAAAAAAAAAAAAAAACGCTCCCCGCCTTCCATCCACCCACCCACCAGCCAGCCAGCCAGCCAGGAGGAGAAAGGCGAGCCGCCAACCCCTACTGAGACCCTCCAGGCATCAAGGGGCTGCGCTTGCAACCGGCAGCGCTCGACGGTGCATCCACGACTGGTGGTAGCAACACGGGCTGAGAGGCCAGAAGGCGCAGAGGCACCCATTAGGAGAGTCCGCTTGGTAGATCTTCCTGCCCCCCAAACCGCCGCGCGATGTAGGGCCGATGAAAATCGCCTGCAGGCTGCCCTCGCAGGAGCGTTGGGCAGCGACTTAAGCAGACTGCGCGCGAGTTGCGCACCTCGCGCGCCCACGCATTCAGGGCGCTCCCCATCGCAGATTGCATCTGGGTGCGTTCACCGGCAATCGTGCCTAGAATGCGGTTCTTGGTGCGCACATTGCCCGTCGCACGGAAACACCATTGCGCGCAGCTCGCCGCTTCGGGCGCTCGAGCGCGAAAGCGCGCACTGCCCATCCGGCGCGGAGGCGAGATTTCGCCCAGATAGCCCGCCATTAGGCAGGGTCAACGCACAAACCTGTCAATGCAGGCCAACCGTGCTCTCTTTTGGGGGGATCGCTCAGGGCAAGGAGTGCTGACTTCGGCGAGTCTGGCTGGCAGACGCCCGGCTCCATGAAGCCAGTTTGGGCCAATTAAGGCCCTGGGCCAGTCTGGCCGCTGGATGGGCAAACAGCGCTCCTGCACCAATCAGGCATGGCCGAGGGGCGGGTCAATCCAGCCCCCAAACCGCCCACCTGAGCCATTCCAAATGCTCCCAGAATCCTCCCAAGACCTCTTGGCAAGAAACTAAAATCTTTCAAAAACCAACAGAGCAAGGAGAGGAAAAGGAAGAAAAACGCAAGAACGAGAGAAAGGAGCACGCGCGACGACGAGAACGAGAGAACAACGAGAACGATCATGCCTGCACCGCTGCCGCCCCACAGGCCCTCCTGGATGATTTGGGACGGGGGCTAGTTCCTTAGGGGGGGCACGCAGCCCGAGCG